GGAATGCATCGTCTCTCCCTTCTGCCCGCCCGACAATACCTGGAAAACATTCCGGTGTGCGCGCTGATGCTCTTTAGTTCTTTTGGATAAAAAGAGACGGTATTCGGGACGCAACTCGCTCGATCTTCCCACCCTTTATCCCTCCCTTTCTGTCTTCCCTTCCGAGCGAACGTTCCGTGCCAGCGGCTTCTCTTTCTGCGCATCGTGAAACGGAACACGTATTTTGTTTTAGTCCACCCGTTTGCTTTCGACGGTACATGCGCACGGCGGAAGAAGCGCGTTTTTCTCTTTCAATTCGCAGAACGCTTTGTGAGTATAAAGACAATACTGCTAAACAGTTTTCAAAGAATCTTGTGTCCAAAACGAACTCTACAAGCATACGTCTCTCTACGAAACTATTGGTCACTTTTCTGTCTTTCGCGGCGACGTTTATTTTATGACAAGGATCACCCATCCATAAAACACCGGGAATAACGGACTGAACTTTCGAGAGAGCCTTTGAGACATAAAATTTTATTTCCAAGCAACCTTTGAAATAAATGACCATTGTCTTGTGTATAGCCGCGAGTTCTGTTATCACTGCGAATTGTCTGTAACTAAATTTTTTTTCCCAAGTATAAGATAAAAACGAATGCGCGACACACTGTAAACTCAGACGTTTTTATAAGCTACGCGAATTAATCGTATTATATTTGTGATATGTGTGAAAAGTATTTAACTTATTGCTTTTTTTACTATATAAACGTGCTCGCAATTAAAGTTAGGTAACATATTCTTATCTTTTTCATTCTCTCTTATCTCTTTCATTCTCTTCTAGAATTTGTTTGTAGCTTGGTACATATACTTTATGTAAAGTATGTTATTTTTGTAAGAAAAACTTTATTGTCGACTGCTGTAACGCGATTATGTTTGCAATGACAAAACTTAGTCTCGGTTTTTCGAATGTCGTTTATTTGATTCACATTTTCTGTCATGGAAATCGTTTCGTTCGCGTAATAGTCAGGTGAAATCGAGCGACTTTCGTGTTCCATTGTACGAAAGCGCGAGCGCACTTTAATCCGATAAAATAGCTGTAATTTCGAAGAATTGTTCTTCTTCTTCTTCGCGGACTTTCTGCGCGCGAGAAATAGAAAAAAATTGCACAAAAGATGTGTAACGAGTAAAATAATAAAGTAATATTTGACCGAAGCACTTAATGGACTGAATACATTTTTTTTCCGACCCAAATAAATGGACGATTTTACGGTACGGTCGGTACACGACGTCCCCCGAGCAATATCGCGCGATCTAAATTTTTCAATTCTAAATCTACGACACTTTCGTAGCTCGCTCACGGCACTTATTTTCTATAATGCGGGGGTATATTAGATAATGCGGGGGTTACATTAGCGATAGATGTGTATCGTAAAAAATTATCCAATTTCACGTGCAAGTTATATAAAACATCGATCGATTCTGGTTGATCTTTTGCAAGGCGTAAGATCTTATCGAATGACGTGAGTGTTTTTGGCGAAACATTGGGATAAAAAGACAAAAAGCAAGATAAAAGCTCTTACAATATTCTAAGCTCCTGACAATAATTTTATTGACATGTCTGACTTCTTTTTATAGACACACAATATTGATACAGTAATAAACAGGATATGATATGACGTATATAAAACTTTCTTTTTCTTTTTAAGTTTACATTTAAAAAGTATTTGTTATAGTTAATTTGCACCTTAGAATCGAGAGTTTTTTTAAATAACGATTTACATCAGCTGAAATGTACTATTGAAATAAAATCACTTTCTTTCTAACACGCTTTGAAAAGACCGTGTCGTCACAGGTCTGTCGTTACTTTTGACGATTCTCGTATTCAGTCGCCAGTCAAACGGCTGACGCAAATTGAATACTCTATACGGATTTGAACAAAACAGGAGATTGCGATATAACGAGCAGTCTTTGATTCAGAGACGCACAACGATTGCAGCTCAATGTCCTCGAGCAAAACCTGTGATTAAATTTGACGTTTCATTCAAACGACTGCGCGCGCGAAAGCTAAAGCCAGTCAATCAATATCTAACATACGATTTTGTTACATGTAGTCGCGTGCATGTAACTTTCAGAGGATCTGAATATAACAATTATGACCCTTTACTATGTGTACAATACGTTTTAATCAACCGTGGAAAATACGTGCTTTTGCTAAAAATTTTTACGTAGAGAAAAGTTTTGTAAACTTTCAACAAAATACAAATTTTAATTTTTAATCACATGTAAAAAGTAATTGAGTCTTTTTATGCAAGAAAACACGTTTTTTTTAGTAGTCTCGGTTGTTAGTTTGATGAAGACTTATCGCGCGCAAAAAAAAAAAAACCAATCCTTTATTCTACCGATCTAGAAATGCCCGATGGACATCCTCCAATTAATTAGTCGTATGAGCGCGAGTAGAATGCGGCCTATGTAATGAACAGCAGCACGAGCATGGTAATTGATCGATCGTAGAGATTTCCGTGTCCGATGACCGAACGACAAAGTCCAGGGCGGTGGTCGGTGATCCCTCTCTTCGCTCGACACCCCTTCTTCTTCCACCCTCGTCCAAACGGCGTCCTTTGTTCGGGCCGGTTTACACCGGACCAGAAGCCAAACGCCTCAATGGCGTTGCATTTAATTAATGTGAACTCCTTTCAACAAACGAAGAACTTAAGCCGGAAATAGACGACGCGTTTATTGAACGATTATTTTGGCAAATAGTCGATTATACAAGATGCGACTGCTGATTTTGTCGTCGTTATAAAATATCGTGAGAAATATAGTATTACAATCGATTACAAGCCGTAACGAGACAGAAAGAAGAACAAACTGATTGATGTTACCGCGTTATTTTTTCATTGAGACGCGAGATTTTTACGATGCTCATGCGCCAATTATAATTTATTAATATTGGCGACGGAAACTCATGAAGGTTTCGTGACAAAAGAATATGAATTAAAAGAACGCGAGAACGTTTTTAACGACATCGTATAAAAAGTTTTATGTCGCTTTTGTTGCATAAGAGAAAAACGGTGACTGATTAATGTGAATATCTTGTGTATCTGCATATATATATATATATATACAAACATAGACACGCAAATAGTTGAAATATTTTTAAACTATTCGTAAACTACCATCCCGACATGTAAATGAAGTGTCAGACATATCGTTCATACGTGTGTGAAGCACACAATTTCTTCCAATATTTTTGTACGAACTTTAGAAACAGCATTTGTTATTCTTGTGTAAATTGGTTACGCGTGATGCCAAACAAATCGGCTAGAAATCAAATTTTATTTAAATGTATGTAACTGCAGCGATCAGTGATTATCTCTCGTACGAGTCTCTCGATCGCTGCTGTTGCAGAGATAAAGAGATTACAGAAACTGAATATTTTCGCCGCTCCGCGTAGAAAATAATAATGGATGGCACGATACCGTTCGATCTAATATAAGCGCGCGTTATTATCTGACTTTGCCGTCCACGTGCAACATGAGCATGATATTACAATGGTGACACTGGCAACGAGGGCTGGCAGAGAGCACGCAACGAATATAACACATGCAGTAGCGCACGCACGTGATGTAACAGGATGCAGTGCGTGACCGGCAAGCAGGTCGAGCTTGTAATGGGGCGCAGACCGGACCTGCGAACCAGTGTGTCGTGTGCCGCCGATAATTTTGTTCAAAAGGCACGAATCCCCGAGCTAATAACGCGGAATTCGCCTTTGTCCGCAATCTGATTCCCGTGTTATTTTCTCCTGATTGCTTATTCAGAATTACGAAAAATTTATGGCGCATTGATCGCCGATACGGCGTATCGCTTTACAACTTGCAAATTAGAATAGGCAATCAAGAAACACAAACGTTACCCGCATATTGAATTTTCGTAAATAATTTTATATTTTGAATGGTATGGAATTAGTTATTTTTTGTTATACGTTGTTTTGTACACGAAAAATAACGATTTTTTATTGATTTGTGCACGCTTGAACGAACCCAGTCACCAATGTTCCTCGCCGTTTTCTAAACTTTCTAATCTATCCCGGCTGAACTTTTAGTTTCAAAAATACATAATTCGCGCAATAAGCGAGCGAAGCGCGGTACGTTCAAGTAAAAGCTAGTTAAGTAGGGTAATATTATCAGCGATGTCAAGAATACACACACACACACACACGCAAAGTGTATTCATTCTTGCTGTTAGCGTGTAGAAATGATAGCTTGCGGTTCTAATATTGTCTTCCCGATTTATACCTCAAAAGAAAACTTACGATTCCCCTAAAATAGCGCTCACATCGTAACTAATTGTTTCTCTTATAGCTGATAAGTACGAACGTTGATTACAGCAAAACCAGCTCTATCCTGGAGCAACAGCCGTTCCCTATCTGTATGTGTGTGTGTGTGTGTGCGTCTTCTCTCTCTCTCTCTCTCTCTCTCTCTTTCTCTCTCTCTCTCTCTCTCTCTCTATCTATCTATCTATCTATCTATCTATCTATCTATCTATCTATCTATCTATCTCTCTCTTCACGGACAAACACGTCAAATTCTGTCCATCACGATCATAGCCTTAATAAGATTAGGCTAATTACGTTTATGCACTTAGGAAAAGCGGATCATCCGTGCTCTATTCGCGCGCGCGAAGCGATTATGCAGCAAGCGTGCTCTACTAATCTCGTTGTTTTGTTTGGTTTAGAGCAAATTCGCTATTGTGCTGTGTATATGTTCTCTAAGTACATGTTCGCGAATATGCTGTTGAATATTAACTAATAGGAAATTGCCACCGACGAGCCACCGATGAGCGAAAGACTAAAGCGTCATGTATACGCGCGTACGCTTAAGTTATTAATTAAAATAACACATTTGACGACAATTATAAATTCCACATTGAATCGACGTGTAACTTGGATATTGTCCATTTAAAAGAAAACACAAAGTTTTTAATTGTTATTGCACATTTAGGATTCAAATTGCAGTTTCACGTACCGCTTCTGTGTGCACAGGATGCACGGCAAACAGTAGCCCAGCGAGGGCTGCGAATCCTGGCCGAAGTGCCGCCACCACGAGGCTCACTCTGGTCACCAAGACGCACGCAGCAGCGTGCAAGCCGACGTTCGTGGCGTGATACCACATGGGATTCAAACCGGCCATCAAGTAGTTCAACCTGAAATCAATAAGATGAGATTCAGATTAGATACACTAACGAATTTTGACGAGTCGGATATCCAAGAATATTCCGTTTGATTTAAATTAAACAAGGAAATTTAACGTATTTCTAGAAAATCAACTAGAATATCTGTATATTATCCGTGAGATATTATGAATATTGAATTTCATTATTCTGACTAAAACAGATTCTCAGAAATCCACAATTTTGGATATATCTTACAATATAAATAGCTGAAATTTACTTAGAACTCAAATAAAAGTAATTTTTAGTAGGTATCAAATAGTCAATTACGTCGTCGTGTAACTCATATCACGTATTATAGAAAGATTTACATATTACATTTATTATACACATTTGTTCACGAGTAGAATTAAAACGTTCTTGTTGTACAGAGCACAGAGTTTCTGCATCAAAGGACCACACTCAGCGAGCTACTATCGTACGCGAGATAAGGGGAGACAAATTTCATTGTTGTCAGATACAAAGAAACACGGGAGGATAAATCCTGTCATCTTTTTGTTTATAAGCACGACGGATTTCAAACGCGGGCGTGACGTAGTTTCCGACGAAAATCCGCTTAAGTCGGTCGGTAATCGGATTTCAGAAAACCATTCTGACAATTCTCTTTTCACTGCAACTAACCGAGGAAAGTTGTCGTTTTCTTTTAGAAGATTAAAATAACCGATGCTACATGTATTTGCCAATTAGCAAAAAAATGATATCGACTTCTGATACACGTGCGCGAGAAATCACCTTCATCTTCGTTCGTCGGCCATTTGTAAAAACAATCTTCTTAATCGTTCGCCAATTGCGAACAACGAATGGAATCGAGGGAGAGTGGAACAGCGCGTGTGTGAGGAAACGCGAGAACGTTTATACATGAATCGTTGTGCCGACATCGAGATGAAAACAAACATCGTAGTTGCTGACGCAAGCGAGCTATAATTTTGGAAGCCTGCCGACGGCATAAGTTCGACGCCCTCGGAGGACCTACGCTTGGCTTCTCGCCAGGTGTCAAGGATCATGGGTTGTCGGAGGCGTATCCTGTCTCCTCCTTGGCTCTAGATCAAGCAAAACGCTCGCATACGTCGATCGCAGATTTCATTGCTGAACTTGTATAGTTATATGTCAAACTTTGCGCGTGTTTATGTTTAACTTGTATTTTTGTAACAAATATTATCTTGATATTTTCTAACAAAAAGCGGCGAATGTAATTCGCGAGACGATCGACTCGACGTAGTCTTGAATAAGATTCACTCTGCGCGTTCAGATTTTCTCTAAAAATCAACATAATAGACCGTACTTCAGCGCGCACTTATATCTACTTACTAACAAAGTTTATTGTTTCTCCGCCGCATCTCCGGTTTGCAAGTTTCTGGTACGCGACGGTTCGAAGTGCAGAGAATACGAAGGCTGTGTGCTTAGGAGCTTCTTGTTTGCTCTAACTGGTTTCTGCAAGAGCAGCGGCGTGCGCCTGCATTCCCGTTACGGAATGAAGCAGCGTCGATATTGCGTTATCACACTTGGACATTAAACAAGCATTGACACAGTCTCGTTGTCGGTTATGCGATTAAATAGACGAAGCGACAATTAGATGGCGAGAGACATTCTTGGATCTGTGCGCGCGCGCGTACGAGCACATCACTTGACGCGAGTAGAGCCTAGTTACTTTAACATCTGGCAGCTGGTTCTTTGATTCTGAAAAACGACGAGATTAATCGCCGCGCATTACGAAATGTCTCCATTTCCGCCTCATTCTTCATTACTTTCTCTCTTTCTTTTCTCATTTTATCCTTCCTTCTGTGTGCGTATAATCATTTATATTTTTCCCCCCGAAGAAGTACTCTGTAACGCAATTTGTCTTCGTCGGCGCAACTTTCTATTCCACGGCGAATTTCTCCTCTCATATCTTTTATTCATGTCATCATTGAAGCTCGTTCAGAGGCGCACAAAAGAGAGTTTGATCTGGAAATAATTATAATACAGACCCTCTTTGTTCACGTGTAAACAAGGAAAATTAACTTCAACGTTTGCTTTATAAAAAGTTTCTTCTATATAAGAGAAACAATTGTATACAATAATTTAATATGCACACGACTGATGATAAGCGATATGTACTGCACATAAAATACACTAATTGACTATACATTATACTAAAATATCTATTGATTTTCTTTCGTTCTCAGAGTTAAAAAAAAAATACTGCAATAATTAATTTGATTATATTAAGAATATTAAGAAATATTCTCTCTCGTTAAGTAACGAAAAAACTTAATTTGCTTGAAATTCTTAAGATAAACGAGATTTGCACGGAAGGCGAGAAATCTGTGCGATGTTTGGATCGTAATTACACATTTAACTAATTACGTTAAGCGCTTAATCGGCCTTGTTTCTCCAAAAGACAATTCTTGCGAAAATGTGCGACAAGTTAAAACAACAACCTGGCTTTACCAACGTTCCGCGTCATTGTTGCGCTATACCGTGTCTTTTATAAATATCGTTCTTTTTAATATTCGCTAAAACCGCGATAAGCTTAAATAATAAAAAATTACAACAAACGTATTACAAAAGGTGTTGTTCGGTTATTTCGCGGAAAGAAAGTAGCTTATGTGTATTACGTTACATAATATGTACTTTGCATTTTCGAGTGGAAACAACACACGTGGATGGTAACAGCCGTGCCATCAAAAGTTTCAAAACAGAAGCGCGGTATGACGAAGTAGAGCAGTTGCTCGTATCAAACCGCAGCGGGACCTGATACTAACTGTCTGACCGCAGCTACGCTCTTACTACTGGCTAACCACGACCGGTTCTATTACTACTGTTTGACCACACCAGCCCGTAACTACTGGCCAGCCGCAGAGCTCGATCAATACTTATTTCCCGCTGTTCCGTCATTATCACTTTTGTTGTTTGTATTTCGAAAACAAAACAAACGCGCAAATCTAAAGGCGCGTTTAATCACGAAAAGACCTCTGAAATCCGACGCTAGTTTCTGTCAAATAAACACGTCGAGATGTCGCGTCGCGTAAAGAAAAAGCTGGTATCGCGCAAAAAAAAAAAACTATCGCGGGCTATCAGCATTTTGAAAAGAAAATGTTGGCAGAGTTCCGGTACGTAATTAACTAATGAAGTTTAGGTCAATGTAAGGATGAATTGCCGGGCGAACCTTTCGAGGAGAGATGCTCGACGTTCGGGCCTCTTTAAAAGACGTTTCTTAAGGACGTCGTATCGCAAAAAAAAAAAAAAAAATCAAAAGATCGGCCTCCTCGTAACGAGGTATTAAAATCTTCAACGATGTCGTTAAATCATCCCTGGCTTAGTTTACTCTTCACTACGTCGTCAAGACGGAGACCGGCCGTTTTATCTTTTCGTCTCATTAGTGTCCTCTTGTGCTTTCACGAAGGACGGGTTTTCTCGAAAACTGACCGTACTAAAAGTCCTATATTCTGTCAATATTAAATTGCCATAAGAATATATTATAGTTGCGTGGAAAATATGAACATGGCATTCACCGGTCGCTAAAAGACGTCATTAAATATTTGATTCTTAAATTGTATTAAAAGATATATATTTTTGGAAACCTCTTTTTTTGTGTTTGCGCATTTTTCAGAATAGAAAATTCTCTCAGCCTTTTATAGAATGTCACGGTATGTACCGCTCAGCTTCGTGGAGAAAGAATTTTTGCTTGATATTCTTTGACAGTGACGTACGTATTTCGAGTCTCGTTTCCTTTCCGACGGCGACATCGGGTTCCGGGCTCTGCGGGGACTATCGTTTGCAGCCGCAAGACAAAGGCACAATGATAGAGCATCGTAGGACGCCATTCGAGCTCGATCGTGCGCGGAATATAGCAGCCGAGATACCGGTTTCGACTCTCCTCAGTGCTGCCTTCAGTGATTTAAGGGACTGGCTAACCCGTACTTCCAGTCACGTCCCACTCGGCGAAGTGTCCGACGAAATAAATCACTAACACGTCGAGACTTCGATCTCTGTTGCGCGCACGAAGAAATTTGGACGCGCGTCGCGAGATGCCGATCGATCGATATCGTCGCGAAATATTGTTCGCGCGCATTTACACGACGTGCTCCTCTTCTGTTCTCTCCGAGAAGAAGAGCGCGTTTCTTTCGGTTTTGCAATTTTTTCGAACGCTAGCGTATCTCTTTCTTTTTATCTCCGTATATTTCGTTTCCTCAGCATTCGATGCGGAATTATGACTGTCGCCTGAGTGTAACGCGGCAAGATCGCCAATCAGAGAGATTGGCGATATTATCATTGATGATCACTACACACGTGAGCAAACTTCTTTCGTCCCTCTCTATGTTTCTCGAAAATCCCTTCCGTTGTTCCTTTTTCATTCTTACACAGACGATCCGCTTACACATAGCCCGATGCGGTCAGATCTGATAAAACCATGAATTACGGGCGCTTATATGCCTTGAGTGGCGCCATATATCAACCGGCGAGCCTCATTCCTTTCCCAGATTGTATATTGGAAAATATGGTGTGTCCACGTCGAACATATGATGAAGGACTTTGCCCGGAAGGCCGTGCGGAGTAAGTACCTATAGCTAATATCTTGTGATCATTAACTCACACACACACTCCGTTCGAATTGCGCTTCAAAATTATGCTATCGATCGACTCCACTGTTAATTCTCTTCGCCCATATATAGTCAAGTTATTTTACATTCACATGTGTTATCTGTACATACATTACAAACAACCGTTTAAAGAGCGAATTTGCGAGAAAAGTTGCAAATTATGCAACTTTTATGCCAAGTTTTGTTAAAAACGTTGCGTGTTCGGGATACGTATGTTGTATCACACACGGTATATATAAAACGGAGGACGAGTCTAACTGTTGATTGGCAGCGCGAACGATTGCAGACAGCGATGGGATAGTTTCAAAGGGTAATTTGGAATCGTGCCACCAATCAATGGTGTGCGGCGCACCTGATATCGCTAAAGCGAAAATCCGACTTACAGCTCGC